ATGGCAAAAAATGGGAAAATTTCTGAGAAAGCACTTTCTACCATAGAAGAGTACATTCCAGGTCTTTTGAAAGAAAATGGGCAACTTTCTGTCACAGAAGACCATCAAAGTGAAAGTACTGTAAGTGAAAGTGAATCAGTTCTAGAGCAGTGATCATTATCAAGCTGTTAAGTAATTAGTTTACATCACTTTATTAATCGTTAAAAAGATATATTTTACATTCTATTTTGACAATATACCGTTTGTTCGAGTCAGGAGAAGATCTAGACATTAGACCAAGAAGTGTCATTAAAAACCCATGTTTATATTCAACAGTCATCAAAAAAAGAATGTGTTCCATATTATGTTATTTGACCCTCCCTTTTGTGCTTGCATGAAAAACCATGGCCCTCCCCATGTTTGCACCAGCCCTCCCCCCTTCTAATATTTGACCGGTCCCTAAGGTTCTGATTTTTGTTAAAATGTCAGCCACCTTAGTCAAGCGCAAATTTTCCTAAGTGCTGAGAGTGCAAAGCAATTTCACGTGGCACCATGTTCAAGCTCACAGAACAACTTCAGTCCTGCACGAAACTTTGTTCTGTGACTCTCGAGTGTGGGAATCTTTCAGTTCTATTATCACTAATTCCCTGGGACGATCTAAGGCTGCAATCTAATCGGACGGTATTTTTTGCTCAGATCGTAAAATTCCATAATAGTTTATCCTGTGGTTTTATATTATCCATGGTTTCTGCATCCAGTCATGTTTCCAGAAAGTAAGTTCTGGTTATGTAGTTGGATCGCATTGTTAGAAAGTATCGAGTAAAAAACACAAAGATGGTGTTTTGTTTGCTATGTATCAACAAAGAAGAGTGGTGTTTTTCGTCAAAATATTTGTTAACTCCTTTTACATTTTCATAGAATGAATTTTAAAGAGCAGCATGGAAGAGTTTCTAAGTGGTTTGTGATCGACCGAAGGAAATACCTCTCCAAAACGCATCTTTCAACAAACTTGAAACCCAACATACAGGAACATACAATCTACCAAAGTTATTATTATTATTTTTTATTTGTTACGGAGTAGGAAAAAGTTATGGTCGTATAGAAATCAGTGATTTGGAGTGAAATGACTGTTTCATCATTTGGTTTTAGGACATGTTTCCAAGGTAAGATTGCATTTTATATCAGATAAAATAATATGATGATGACACATATAAACATCGGAATGTCATTTGGCTCCGATTGAATCAGCAAAGGTTTTATCATTATTGGAAACGGCAACTGTTGCCGACTGCCCTTTAGCCAGCGGATTCTACCAAAATAGGACTTAGTCCCCATGGACTAGAGACTCAAGCATGTGCTCGCGAGATCCGCCATCTTGTTGTGTTATTGTGTAGTTCTCGGATCGCTAGTTAAAATCTTTGTTGTTCTCGCTTGCTGCCCAAGTTTTATTTTGTTTGGATAACCTCCGCTACATTATTTGGTCCTTCGAGCCGGATGTTTCACTGGAAATACTGTCCTAAACGAGCGAGATGGCCGAATCAAATGGTTCGCTGTGGGATAAACAACCAGGCCCTGACTGTTTCCTGAGGATTACTTGCGTGAAGCTGGAAGACAAACACATCGAGATTACTTGCCAAGCTTGAGTCGCTCTCTGTCCGAGGACTTTCGGGCTTACGTCATTGGAACAAGGAATAATGCAGCCCACGAAGAAGTTAGATGCACGCAAGTAGATTTACAAAATTCAAATTAATTGTTCGCGACGCGAGAGTATTTCCGGGCATTTGGTTTGATTTTATTTATTTTCCTAATTCAAGTTTATTCTTTGCTACTCCTCAGATATATGTTGCAGCCGATAAGAATAAGATTTACAGCCCTGTCCTGCTTTGAAACAAACATTTACCAACGTGTATTTTTACGAGGTCGTACCCACGCCATAAACAAAACAGTCACCGATCAGCAAACAAAATTTGTAAACAAACATCTTATTACTGTTCTCTCAGTTCGCCTTATATAAACCCAGAAATACCTACAAATAGCGCCTGACCGGTGACAAAAACACACAACGTATGAGTATAAAGATTATCCTTAATTGAGCATAAATTTCAATTGCTTATCAGCAAATGAACAAATTCATTCGCGTTGCATCGGGTCAGTGTTCCGCAAAACAAATGTTATCCAGTAGCACACATAAAGAAACTAGATTATAAACAGAATATTCAGGCAATAATTTATTTTAAAAACATCAATTCTTAAACATATACGATCGTAAAGCAAAGATACAAGGAACATTTCAAGTGTACCAGATCGGTGAAGATCGCGCGGCCTGTTGCGGTATAACTACAGGTCGGAGTCAAAAATCAAATCAAAGTTGAACGAACTCATGCCTTTAACCACTTTCCAAGTGTCGTGTATTCTTTTCGTATGCCACACACTACTCCTAGAACCATACCAGATCGATAGGCTAAGCTTCTCTATCTCCAGAGACTCTTGAGAACGTCCTGTTGCCGGACCGCCACGATGC